ATGGAGCTGGCGATAGACTAGAGATAGGCTGACTATATTATCAAAGGCTTTAGGTAGTGGAAATAAGCCACCTTCCATGAGGCCGATGGGAAGAAAACAGAACTGAACTCGGACTTATGATTTCAATTTCCGCGCCAATATTCGTTATGCCACATACCTATTCATGAAAGCCAAAACATATCGCCTCTCGCACTTATAACACCCGTTTCTTGATAATGAATGAGACAACCGAAAGTACTGGACCAAACAAGAAAACGGAGGTTGGAAATGAAATGTTAATCCTTATAATATCAACAAAATACAATACTCGCCAGCCGCGTGAAGTAGGTGAACCACTGCTAGTGGTGGACTACTTAGATAGCATATTGTCCCACTTACAATAGTGTCCAACGTATTTATGAGGATTGGGACAAACCCATTAGCGTTCATATGTACGATATATAACAGTTCTCCATCGCAAAGAAAGACCGCATACAACAAGAATAACAGAAGAAAAGTTGGCAACTCGGTTGAACTGTTTTTCTTTTAGGTAAATAGTTTGGTTTTGTGACAACTTACGTTATTAGGCGCCATCTTCAGTGTCATGTCCACATGCTGCATTATTATGTCGTACTTATATATCAGGTCATCTCATAACTTCTGTCCGAATTTTAACTTTTTGTTAAAATGAACGAAATTTAAAGAGTATTTTTTAATGACTAATGGAGCTCAACATTATTTTTATGTTTAGTTGCATTTAAACTGACAAATTTTATTTCAGAGAACAATAAAATTAAATTTTGTTTGATTAAAACCCTGCTAACAAGAATCATTTGAGGCACATAATGCTTTATGAGTTCAAGAAAGAAAACTCAGCAGCCGAAGCGGCTAGAAACATTCACTCAGTTTATGAAGAGGAATGTGTGAATGAAAGAACTTGCAGAAGATGGTTTGCAAAATTCAGAGGTGGAGATTTCACCCTTGAAGATGAAGATCGAACCGGACGTCCAGTTGAGTTTGATGAAAAGCTTCTTGAAGCAGCCCTTGAAGAAAATCCTGCTTTATCAGTTGAGGAATTGGCAGTGGTTTTCAATTAAAACCATACAACTGTTCATCGTCATCTTCAACAACATGGAAAAGTTCCTAAACTTGGAAAATGGGTGCCTCATGAATTATCTGAAAACAACCTCAAATCCCGAGTTGACATCTGCTCTTCTCTCCATTCTCGCCAACTTGTTTCACCTTTTTTGTATAGACTTGTGACTGGCAACGGAAAATGGATCTTTTATCGAAATGTTAAGCGTCGTAGACAGTGGCTTGGTAAAGGGGGAGGACCACAGCCACAGCCGAGAAGAGAACTTCATGGGCAAAACGTTCTTCTTTTAATCTGGTGGGATTACCAAGGAATAATCCACTTTGAATTCTTACCACCTAATGCAACAACTAATGCTCAAATATACTGTCAGCAATTAGAGCGTTGAACCAAGCTTTGAGGAAAAAAAGATCTGCTCTAGCGAATCGAAAAGGGGTGATGTTTCATCAGGACGATGGGCGACCCAAAACAGCAAGAATCAAGTCACAAAAGATCGAAGAACTTGGTTGGGAGAACATTCCTCATCAACCTTATTCTCCCGATCTTGCTCCTTCAGACTACAATTTGTTTCGTAGCTTACAGAATCAATTGGAAGAAACAGCTTTTGTAACACAGGAAGAGGTTAAAACTGACATTTGTTAGTTCTTCGAATCAAAGCCAAAAGAATTTTACAGTAAAGGAAGTAGTAAGCTTGTTAATAGATGGAAGGAAGTCATAGATAATCAGGGAAAATACATTGTTGATTGAATCTGTAATTAAATGTAACATTTGGTCACTTGTTTTCTTTATTCAAAATTCAGACAGAACTTATGGGATGACCTGATACTTTGCTATCTACCTAATTTTAAAGTCGACAAAGATCATCATTTCCCACCTATGGACGCTAAAATAGATTAAACGGAACACTATTTATTTAAACGACGTATAGAAACGTAAACTAAACCCTTTATTATTGTACGTTTCATTATCTCATCAGCAAACATGGACTATCATGCCTGAAAAAAAATGGATTGTCAAAAGGACGCTTTTTTCTATGAAAACCGATTTTTAGTACTTTCACTCTTCGGCAAAGTTGATTATTCCAAAAATCGATGATTAGAATTGTAATAAAACCTAAAAATATCATGTATGTAAATTTACTTTCTCCTTCAGAACTGACAACGAAAATAATGAGAAAAAATGTATAAATTCACTTTCACCATATGCCCAGGTTTTATTAAAAGTCCTAAACATCGTTTGGTCGTCTTGACGTGGTGTAAAGGTTAAGAAGCTTGTCTTGCTAGATCAGTTACTACTGAAAAGTGAGTTCGATCCTCACTGGATACCCCATGCTTTCGTCATTGTGCCACATCTAAGCTACGTTTGGAAAATCTTTGGTCACCTCGGCGTGCTGTAATGGTTAGCAAGCTTGTCTCGATAGAACATATTACGACTGAATTGTGAGTTCGATCCTTACTGGGTGCTCCATACTTTCGGCCTTGTGCCACAACTAAGCAGCGCTTAGAAAATCATTTGGTCATCTCGAGGCGGAGTAATGGCTAGCAAGCTTGTCTTGATAGAACAATTACGACTGAGTAGTGAGTTCGATCCTCACCGGGTGCCCCATACTTTCGGCCTTGTGCCGCATCTAAGCCACGCTTATAAAATCAACAGTCCTAAACATCGTTTTTAAAACAAGAGACATTGCCGAAGGAGTGAATTTAGTTAAAATAAAAGCGGCCTCATGGAAAAATGAAACATCCTTTTAATACACAGGATTTTTTTTGTTTTTGTTTTTTTCTTTTTTTAATATCCATATTTGCCATATGATCAGTCTTAAAACGTTCCTTTATAAATGTCTGACAGTTTTGAATATAAATCATACTTAATAATTGGAATATTCTTCTTATTTACACTATTTACATTATTCGGACTATTGTCCATCTTTGTCGCCATGTTTATCACAACGTTTCGGCCGTTGTACGCTCCAGCCTTCTTCAGGTGGTTGGAATGTCGAAGTAAACCCTTTATTTTGCTCACTTAGGTAGAATGTTCTCCTTCCACGTGCCATGTTAAATGGATGCCATATATCAGTTTTCTCCTGTTAATTCCCCTCTACAAGTTCTTCATTGTCTTACCCGGGTATTGAACTCTTTGGGTCCTGTCACTGGATCTAACTAAAGCATTCATCCACTGTGCCATGTGTCCTGCGTTGGTTGTGATAAATATGGCAACAAATATCAGGACAATAGTCCAAATAATGTAAATAGTGTACATAATACCTCATCTCAGAAATATAGACAGATACTGAAAGGCCGAAGCGTTGTGATACATATGGCGACAAAGATGAGGACAATACTCCGAATAATGTAAATAATGTACATAATAGCTAATCTCAGAAATATAGACAGATACTGAAGGACCGAAACGTTGTGATAAATATGGCGACAAAGATGAGGAAAATAGTCCAAATAATGTAAATAATGTACATAATACCTCATCTCAGAAATATAGACAGATACTAAAGGGCCGAAACGTTGTGATATATATGGCGACAAAGATGAGGACAATAGTCCGAATAATGTAAATAGTGTACATAATACCTCATCTCAGAAATATAGACAGATACTGAAAGGCCGAAACGTTGTAATAAATATAGCGACAAAGATGAGGAAAATAGTCCAAATAATGTAAATAATGTACATAATACCTCATCTCAGAAATATAGACAGATACTGAAGGGCCGAAACGTTGTGATATATATGGCGACAAAGATGAGGACAATAGTCCGAATAATGTAAATAGTGTACATAATACCTCATCTCAGAAATATTGACACATAATAAAAGGCTGAAACGTTGTAATAAATATAGTGACAAAGATGAGGACAATAGTCCGAATAATGTAAATAGTTTACATAATACTTCATCTCAGAAATATAGACAGATACTGAAGGGCCGAAACGTTGTGATAAATATGGCGACAAAGATGAGAACAATTCTCCGAATAATGTAAGTAGTGTATATAATGACTCATCTCAGAAATATAGGTAAATTCTTCTTTTAAACCTTGGAGGTAAACATCATTAGCGAAGTTACAATTATCGGAGTTTGTTTCTTTCTTTCATTGTTTACCCGCATATTACCTCCTTTACGCTCATTTAATATCGAAAATTATTTTACTTGGGAGTATTAGTAATTTCATTTACAAATATATATCACTGGTATTGTTACTATGAAAATGTATTTTTATTCTTTGATAGAGCCTCGGCCCCAGTTTGAGTGTAACTATTTTGCCATAGTTGGCACCCTAACAAGTGCTACCACTCCGGGTCAGGGAAAACTTGGGACTAAAAGCATTTAAGAGGTGGTTCCACGCACCTCAAATCTCCTGACCAATGGTCTTTCTGCCGGATGTAAGTTCTTGTTATAGCAGGCGGGTATAATTATTCTGAAATGTTAGTCTATGCCAACAAGAGATGCAGAATTAACTGATGGGGTATACAAGCAGCAATCAAGAATTTCTCATTCAATTCTTAATAAGAGATGTGTCTCCAAGGTATATAGTGATGTTGAATATATAAAGAAATGGTTATGCGGTTCTTATCTGATGTGGCACCTAGTTTTACATCCAGCGCAAATTTGAACTGATACTCTCCCATGAGGTTACTCAGTGGTAAATTGCATTTAATCAACTTGGATACCATTGGACGGCTGTAAACTCTACCGACAGACCACGGACACTTAATCCTCTTCAGAGTAAATACAATCTTGTGAGCCTAAGTCAACCTTTAACTCTAAGTAGTTAACCTGCGATCTTCTACAAATTGGTTCTCATCAAAAGACCATTTTAATTCGCATCGAAAGATCACCTCTGCAAATTGGTTGATTCTAACGTAATGAGTAATTACCATAAAATTAATAGATTTTGATGTGCTCTGAAAACTTACCATGTTCACCACCAGCCAGTTATAAGGATATGACATCATGCTTAGCAGCAAGGCCTGAAAATAAAGAAAAAAAGAAACGATGATTAAATAAACGACACAGTATATAAGAAGAGTCAAGAAGAATGGACTTGAGTCAAAAGAAAGCATTGGGTTTCTACAAAACGAGGCTGCGAATACCATGGACGGTACATGCAAACAATGAGGAAGTTTTATAGAAAATGCAAAGAAAAAGTTGAAATTTCTATGAAAGAGAATTTAGAAAATTTAACACTCATGGCACAGATTGAAGGCAAGAGGGACAGTGGGAAGAGGTGTATAACCTACTTAAAGAGATTTTGTAAATGGTAGGAAGGAGTAGGATTAGGTGAGATAGAGAAAAGGCATAATTTATTAAGAGCTACAAAGGACAGAAAATTATGGAGAGCCATAATCATCCGAGTCCTGAAGGGACATGACACATAGAAGAAGAAGAAGAAGAAGAAGAAGAAGAAGAAGAAGAAGAAGAAGAAGAAGTTTGTATAAAAGTTTGGCAGGACAGGGATTAGGAGAGATAGCGAAAAGACAACATTTCCGAAGAACTGCAAAGGACAGGAAATTGTGGAGAGCCATGATCATCCACTTCCTGAAGAGTCATGGAATATAGAAGAAGAAGAAGAAGAAGAAGAAGAAGAAGAAGAAGAAGAAGAAGGTGTTTGTATAAATGGTTCACAGAACAGGGATTAGGAGAGATAGCGAAAAGACAACATTTACGAAGAACTGCAAAGGACAGGAAATTGTGGAGAGCCATGATCATCCACTTCCTGAAGAGTCATGGAATATAGAAGAAGAAGAAGAAGAAGAAGAAGAAGAAGAAGGTGTTTGTATAAATGGTTCAAAGAACAGGATTATGAGAGATAGCGAAAAGACAACATTTACGAAGAACTGCAAAGGACAGGAAATTGTGGAGAGCCATGATCATCCACTCCCTGAAGAGTCATGGAATATAGAAGAAGAAGAAGAAGAAGAAGAAGAAGAAGAAGAAGAAGAAGGTGTTTGTATAAATGGTTCACAGAACAGGGATTAGGAGAGATAGCGAAAAGACAACATTTACGAAGAACTGCAAAGGACAGGAAATTGTGGAGAGCCATGATCATCCACTTCCTGAAGAGTCATGGAATATAGAAGAAGAAGAAGAAGAAGAAGAAGAAGGTGTTTGTATAAATGGTTCAAAGAACAGGGATTATGAGAGATAGCGAAAAGACAACATTTACGAAGAACTGCAAAGGACAGGAAATTGTGGAGAGCCATGATCATCCACTCCCTGAAGAGTCATGGAATATAGAAGAAGAAGAAGAAGAAGAAGAAGAAGAAGTTTGTATAAATGGTTCACAGAACAGGGATTATGAGAGATAGCGAAAAGACAACATTTACGAAGAACTGCAAAGGACAGGAAATTGTGGAGAGCCATGATCATCCACCCCCTGAAGAGTCATGGAATATAGAAAAAGAAGAAGAAGAAGAAGAAAGAAGGAGCTTTTGTAAATTGTTAGCAGAACAGGGATTAGGAGATGGAGAAAAAACAAAATTTACTAAGGGCTACAAAGAAGAGGAAATTATGGAGAGCCATGATCATCCAAGTCCTGAAGGGACATGTCATCTAGAAGAAGAAGTTGTGGGAGTTTGTGTAAATGTTTGGTAAAACCGGGATTAGAAGAGCTAGCGAAAAGACCAAATTTACTAAGAACTACAAAGAACAGGAAATTGTGAAAGAGCTATGATCACCCACGTCCTAATGGGACACGGAATATGGAAGATGAAGAAAAAGAAGGAAAGGTCTATGTAAATGGTTGGCAGAAAAGGGATTAGGGGAGATAGAGAAAAGACAACATTTACCAAGAGCTACAAAAGGACAGGAAATTGTGGAGAGCCATGATCACCCATGTCCTGAACGGACACAGGTCATACAACAAGAAGAAGAAAAAGAAAAGAATTGAAAGAAGAACTTAAAGTCTTAAAATGTTTATTATTCTTTGTTCCTTTTAATATCTTTATTCACATATAGAATTTTTTTTTCTTTCAATTCACATTATCTGCAGAACTGCTGTTATCCTGGCCTTTTACCCGACTAGCATTTGCATTTTTGTTTATATTTCCCTTCTCTATTTTAAATTTGCCATGTCGGCGCGAACCAAAATATGCTGACTGTATCCCCTGCAGACTCCGCTCAAAAGGGGCAATCTACCAAGTAAATGCTTACAGGCGAAAATTTAAACCCCAATATTAACCTATGGACTGAAGTATTAACGTACGTACAGGTACAACCGTACTTATATATATATATATATATATATATATATATATATATATATATATATACGTATAGGCTCAAGTATAAACTTATATCTACCCAAAAATCTATCCCTGAACCAAGTCAATTCATATAAGCACGAATTTAATTTTGAAAATTAATCTAATGTTGGTGGATATGTCGTAAATTCAATTAAATTATAGAAGTATTTTACCAATTTTAACCTCACAACCACAGAGTTCAGATTCCTATTAAATTCACATACTCCCAATTCTCTTTGGAAAACATGAATTCATTGGTTCTCCCTACAGCTATGGATTAAATAGTATGGCAGACTGGAGTGGGGGGTTACTCTGAATTTGAAATTGTGGCGAAGGAAATAGGAGACCACTCTACACTCTTTTCTAAATATACATGGCAATTCACAGATAATAAAAAATGCAATCTGTGCAGAGTCCTGACCACCTTCAGAATTCTGAATAAAAATGAATTAGTAATTTCGTTATTCAATTCTCCATAAACCCAGTCATTTCTCTCATTTTCAATCTCTGTAAACTCCGTACGTACTAGTGGCATTCCCACCTTGCTTGGGGTGAAATGATTTTAGAAAATATCCCCAAAAGAATGAAGATGACCACCATTTAATGAGAACATTTTAGTCGCTTTTCAGGATTGTGTTTTTTATCAATCTATTCTCCAAGGTTTTCTGACATTCTTTAATTTGACTAACATTTTATGAGAAATGTATTATCATATTCATATTTCTCTCAGACGATGGCATTTAACATACATAGTTATTGTATTGATGCCGTAAGAAAACTTCTTCATTTATTCTAATGGCATTACTTTTCTTATTCTACTGAAATGATCGTAATATCTTCTGAGCTAAAAAAAAAGTCAGACATAATCGAAGAAAAAGAAAGAAAGAAAGAAAGAAAAGAGCGATTTTTCTATGCTTACCTGACGTAATACTCGGCTCACCGTCTTTGCGTCACATAATACAATATATTGGTGAAAGAATTGCGATCTCATTGCTTTGAGGTAAGTGACAATCTCCGAAACGCCATGTTTGTCGGAAGTCACTTTTGCCGCCTTCACCTCAAGTTGGTAGTTCTGAATCAATTTCTCGACCACCATAAAACCTGAATGAGAAAAATAAAGAAAAATAACTGTAAGCTGAGATTGAACACTTATTGGATGAGGATTCTTTATTTCTTCCCTCGTTCTCGTTGGTACAAAAGAAAACATTCTCTTCAGCATCTGAATGTACTCTTGGCATTTTGAATTAAAGCTTAAATCTAATGGGTTGTGTGAAAGAAAATGGTCCAGATGAGCATTGAGTTCGATCTTTCCTGAGTATCCTATCATTTTGGTCCTGTGACACACTTGTCTAATCTTCAATAAACTTCATAATAAACGAACGGTAGGTATTAGGTTGACGAAAACAGTTTAGTTTATTAACTAAATTTTCTACTTAATAACAGAAGGAACCTTTTAGCTAACGCAATATTTATAGCATGAAACATTCTTTTTTCTTTTTTCTTTAAGCGTATCACCCCAAGCTAGGCGGGAAGCCACTAGGACGCAAGGGGTTACAGAAAATTTAGAACAAGATCAGATAGGAGTGATAGAAGAAAGGATGAGGAGAAGGGTAGTGGATAGATCAAGCCAACTGGAGATGTCGATTGACATTACATTTGAATAGCTGGAAACTAGAATAGGGAAGGGTGTTCCACAGGCGAGAGGTGCGAGACATGAAGCTACTGGAGTAGAAGAGACGGCTACATTTAGGAGTTTCGACAGTGAAGGGGTGAAAGCGGGATGTCAGCAGATAGGAGTGATAGAGGAAAGGATTAAGAGAAGGATTTGCATAGATGGAGATTATAGCTCTCAGGGAAACAGGAAAAGGGAAGGGAGTTCCACAGGCGAGAGGTGAGAGCTGTTGGGGTAGTAGAGATGGTTACATTTAAGAGTTACAACAGTGAAAGGATGAGAGCAGGATGCCAGCCTCGTAGGGCGCTTGAATTCATGAAGTCTGGGAACCAGCGAATGCAGCTCCTCGGAGCAATTGCCATGAAAGTATTTGTAAAACAGACAGACAGAGGTGACGGCACTTCTGTGAGAGAGCGACTGTAGACGAGATGCCAGATCAGGGCCAATTATATTGCATATCCGCCTCTGGAGCCTATCAAGAACCCCGAGGCAAACAGAAGTGTTCCAACTGACTTTATAGAATGACCACCGCTTTTTCTATAAATATTTTCGGCGTAATTGTTCTGATGAACTTTTCTCTATGGCACATAGACTTTATGTATTTTAAGCGCAATACTCGTCAATGTACAAAGAGTCAACAAAACAATTAATGAAATATATATCATTTCATATCTGAGCGGTCATAGGCATTTTATGTCTTTGATATTAAAGCAAATAATTAGAGGGTCAGTTCATGATAGTATAATAAACTCTTACGTCATATATACACTAATAGACTGACTTGTGACCATAGTGCCTTTTATTAGGGTCGATTATTTAAAGGTCAAACCAATTATTTCTCCTTTTGAAATCCGAGAAAGCTCAAAAATAAATGTGATTATTTTCTGTAAATGTCACTTATAGTCGTTACAACGTGTAGATTGTCTTAATACTGACGAGAAAAAGAAAACGCTTCATAATCTGGGCAATTTGGAAAGCGAATTCCTAAGTAGGTGTTGAGTAATGGAGAATTCCTTGCAAATTAGATCAGCTAATGTATCTAATGTCAATGATCGGTTAAAAAGGTTCCAAGAGGGAGAGGGACAGATAGAGATGGAGAGAGAGGGAGGGAGAGGGAGAGGGAGAGAGAGGGAGGGAGAGGGAGAGAGAGAGGGAGGGAGAGAGAGAGGTGAAACCAGGTTCGTGAGTTTATCTGTTTTGATTTTCGATTCCGAATTGAGAAGCAATTAGCTGAGATTCACTTCTGCTCACTGGGAGTTATTGACTGCAATGTTTAAGTCCCCAGATCAACCGAAAAATATCTAGCAGCTCTGACCTTTCTGCGAACCCGGGTCAATCGTTACATTCTCTTAATCTTCTTTCCTTTTATACATTCTCTGTATCTCGCGCCATAATTCTACACATTACTTCCTGTCTATCTATCTATCTATCTATCTATCTATCTATCTCATTCTGTTCATTATCTCTCTCTCTATCTATCTATTTATCTATCTATCTATCTATCTGTTTATATCGATTTGTCTATCTAATTACACACACACACACACACACACACACATATATATATATATATATATATATATATATATATATATATATATATATATATATATGGTGCAATATCCCTTCGTATTCGACGTATGAGGGTCAAGCAGCTCAGTTCCTAGGACATGTGAACTGATTATCGTGGTGAAGGCTTTGTACAGAACCAACCACACTTTTTGAAGGGCCAAATATTTGTTGACCTTGTGCACTACGAGTGCAAGTTCCCCAACAATTATAAAAAAACATAACAATAAAATTTTAAATGTATACTTAAACCAAGATAATAGGAATTCCCTAACAAAAATCGATAATATTAATGAAAAATCATGTAACTATAGAAACCCCATGAATTGTCCTTTGCAAAATAAATATCTTACATAATCTATAGTTTACCAATGTACTATTTCTTCTATTGAAAATACAAGTATTAAAAAAAATTTGTATTGGGAGTACAAAAATAGTTTTTACCAACATGTTACCAACATCTTACTTCTTTCAACAACAATGGATATCGTAACCAAACATCCCTGTCTAAATATTTTGGCATTTAAAAGAAAGAAATAAAGCACCGACAGGAAAATGGAAATAATTAAAAAAAAAAACGAAAGCATGTAAGTCATTAAATGTCCCATGTCCTCTATACATATACAAAAAGTTATATATTATTAAGTTTCTTAAAAATAAAGATTTATTAAATCAGCGGAATCAATTAACTGTTTTTTGTTGACACTGCCTTATATGAAATGCGCGCGTGTATGTGTGTGTCAGTGAGAAACTGAGTGTATGTGAGTATTTATAGTATCTGTGTGTGTGTGGGGGGGGGTGCGTTCGCGTTTATCTTTCAGTGTTTCAGCAAATCCAGATCACCATAATAAAAATCATTTATTTAACATAACAGATATTTATTTTCCAATATAAACCTAAGCAAACTCTTCCCATATTCATCACGTTTAGACACTGGGTCAGATTTGATGTAATGGGTCGGGTCAAAAATTATTCAGTCGTATTATCATAAAACGGACACAGCCAAATTTTATCAATATACGAATCAGGCTATGGAATTATTGATCTGCCATCGAATATATGACTGCATTTTGGTTTTTAATGAATAAATATAAAACGAGTTTTGAATTTCTTTTCATTTTCTTTTGTTCATCACCTTGGGCAGTCGCCAGAAACCAAGTCAAAAGTCAAAAATTGAAAACTTTTCTTCTTTTTTTTTTTCACATAATATATAGTTTTTACTGTTTCCACCGGAGGATAGCTGAATCACTTTAATTTATTAACAGATAAAGTGGAACCACGGTTGACGAATTTAATTTGTTCCTAATGCTTGTTCGTAACCCGAAATTTTTGTAAGCTGAAACTGATTTTCCAATAGGAATCAATGTAAAATGAATAAATCCGTTCCTGGTCCCAAGATGATTGCTTATTTAAACTTATACAACAGTACTTTGTCCACAAGTTTAAACACAAAGCTAAAGAAAATCATTAAGTCTGAGAAGAAAATATAAACCCAATACTAAAGAGATAAAATATAGACGAACACTTCAATTTTATCGTACCTGCATGTAGGAGATTTGATGGCGTAAGTGGAAGGGGAAGAAAAGAGATGTTATTGTATGGAAAAGGGAAAGGAAAGATAGGGTCGTCTCTTTATTTATAAGAATAGTATAGATCGTTGATTTTGCCATATGAAACTGAATAGGAAGAGACAATATCATCATCATAGAGACAATATCACTAACAATTGTTTTTCTCTTAACTTTTCTTTTTCCTTTACCAATATCACTGTTAGCTTTTTTTTGGAGCCATGATTGAGGACAAATGAAGAGAAAAAGAAAGCACAGTACAATAAAATTGGAAAAGATAAGCACAGCACAAGACACGAATGGAAACAACATGGCGGTCGACTAAGAAATGATTCCGTTCGGGTGAACTCGGTTTGGCTCGGTTCGAAAATGCTGTTCGTGAACCAAAATTTTGTTTCATAACCGAGGTATTTTCATCTCGAATATTCTGTTCGAAAACAGATTTTTTCGACATGTAAGACGTTCGAGAACCGAGGTTGCATATACTTTTGAAACAATTTCAGTTAACTGTTAATAAATTCGATTAGTTTTATTAATAGGTTTATTTTTATTAACGTAAATTTTATATTTACACTATTTACATCGTTCGGAATGCTAGTTTGATATATTCACGACGTTTCAGCCGTTGTACGGTCCGGCCTTCTTCAGATGTTACACGTTAAAATTTCAAACCATACACTTTCTTTATTCCAAAGGATTAATTTCTTTTCTTATTCCACCTGTCATTCTTCTGAATGTTTCAGTTTCAGTTAATTCCCTTTAGTAACTCAACTCTCTAAGTTTATTTGGTCATCTCTGCTGTGGCTAGGTATTGAACTCACAACATAGCCCAGTGGTTGGTTGATGGGTTTGTTTTGGTTGATAGGTTGGTTCGTTGGTTGGTTCAAAATGTTACATGACCCAAAGAGTTGGCCACAGCAGAGGTGAACAAAAATTTGGAGAGTTTAGTTACTAAAGGAAATTAACTGGAACTGATATATTCCCCCCCCACACACACACACAAAAGGCGTCTCAGCGTCGATCCTCCTCTGTCCCTTGGGAATATAAAGTGCTGTAAGGGTGGATGTGCGGATGGTGTAATAGATAATGACCAGGAATTTGAAATCGGATAGCCGAGTTCCAATTCCAATTGGGTTCGTTATATTCACAAGCGCAAATTCCTCTGGGAAAGGAATGAATCCA